GAATTGTACCTGGCCGGAATATGTGTCTATATCATTTCCACGTTGTTCTATAAAACGTGCTAAAATATAAGAGCTTCTAATATACCTTTTGGATAATATTGACCCAAAATATTCTGCACCGATGCGCAATCTGCCACATTGTGTGATATTTCCAGTTACAGCAATGTAATTTTTGGTTGATAAAGAAGGATCTAACCGTGGTTGGCTAAAATTATATTCTTCATAAGCGCGATTGTAGTAATCAACTAGTAAATCCAAAATATCATCCGGTAATATGACATTCAATTTTATTGGACTTAAAAGTTCTCCAGGATATTCCTCCGTTCCTGTTGCCCTGCCAGAAACCAGCTTTTCAGATATGTCTAAAAATGCCTGTAATTCCTCACTTTCGAGAGATTCATTTTCGTTATCGTCAGTTATATCATCATTTAAATCAAGTATTTAAAAAATGGCCTGATGATTTAGAGCCAATATATTGAATCTTCGTTCAATTTGAGAACTCTGCATCATAAATCGCATAATTTCTGGTTCAATTTTTCATCTACTATTAGGTAAACTCCCTGTATAATTGTAAAATCGTAAGTAATAATTCTGAATAATTTGAATAATATTATTGTAAATACCAACCAAGAATTCCATTCATCCTTTCAAAGGAGAAATACCAAAATGAGTAAAGAGAACCGTAATCTTTACAACATTTGTTCAAGTGTAATGAAAGATGTAAATTTGGTGTTATTGAAACTTCTCCGTAATTTGTTTCGATAAGTTTCAAAATTTCAATTAAATGTTCATGTGCGTCATCTAAATTTTTGATTGTAACAATCCTTCGGACTAATATAGAATAAGCTTGGCTAAAATGTACTAAGATTTTCTGATCTTCTTGGTCCAAAAAATCCCAAAGAACGACTCTGGCATAAATCAGGAAAAAATTTTTCCATTCGTTAGCCGTTAAATTGGAAAATCCTTTCCCAATATCTATTTTATGAGGAATTCGACCGATTTCTGATGGTGGATGAATATTGTTCATGTTTTTTTGAATTTTCGTCAGATCATCCATATTTATTTTACAATGTCCTAACCAAAGCCGTTTTACGATAAATGATGCAATTCCTATAAATAAATTATGCATCGGGTCCATAGGTAAAAATCGTATCAGATCGAAATAAGACAAACGGAGCATTTCTGACCATCTCGCGTGATATTGCTTCGCATGTCTTTTTCTAGCTTCGTTGCTTTTACATTTTCTCCATTACAAAGCCATTTATAGATGACTATTCACGCTTTTAGCAACAAACCATTCGTCAATATCATCCATGCCACTAAAATTTCTATTTCTTGCAACCTTTAAGCATCTGTGACAGCTTACATTGGCTGAATAATGGCCACATAATTTTCTAGCAGCTGGTATATCGCAGCAACAAGCAATTACTGCGCATTTTATCAATCTTCCGGATAAATGTTCAGAAGTTCTGTCTAATCCCACTCCTTCCCAAAAAGTTTGAAATTGATCAACAATTGGCGCCAAGTAATGATTTATCTGATGTAAGCTTGGTTCATTAGGGCCTGGCATTAATCCTAAAATGAGCATATTTTCGGGTTTAAAGCGCAATTCTCTTGGGATATTGCAAATAGCTCCATATATAGCACCAGAACTATGAATTGTCCTTTCAAATGGCTGAAACCAATCGACGTTAATCATAATACCCAAATGATCATCCGCATGTTCTTTATTAAAAAATCTTTGTTCGTCAGATTCATCATCCACTATTATTCCACTATTTGAGAAATTCTTCCAAATTTCACCATCATATACATCACATAAGACTCGGTCGTTGACGCTTCTATCGGCCCATAATTTAAGATTTTTTTCAAAGTTTGGCCTTTGATACATTTGTAAAAGTTGCTCTTTTATACTGGGCATCGGATAAATTAATAATGGCGCATTAACGACTTTACCATCGTCTAGTTCTTTTTGTTCTGATAATGGAGCATTGCATTGTCGAAGTGAACGATGATTTGGAAATTGTACATGACCACATTTTTTTATTGCTTTGTGTTGTTGGATTGTGTGTTGTTTAACATCATCTATATTATGTAATTTGTGACATGAAGGACATACGGAAAATTTGACAAATTGATGCTTCAATCCTAATTTCTTTCTTGCAGTATACAACGAAGTAGGAAAATCTTTAAAACGATCGTAATTAAAATTTGTTAAAATATGTTTGATGAATTTAATTAATGTATCGATTGCGGTATCTGCTAGTCGAAACCTAGTTTGATACCTCAAAACAAACACAATTATCCAATCTTCAATATTTTGCAGATTTTCATTAATATTGTTTGGAAAATCATAATTCGGTGGAGAGTAATCTTCAAAAATGTTGGTTTCTTCGCCATCATCATCCCCATCATTTCCATTATCGCTATCATCCCCATCATCCCCATTATCGCTATCATCCCCATCATCGTTATCATCCCCATCATCGCTATTATCCCCATCATCGTTATCATCCCCATCATCCCCATCATCATTATCATCGCTATTATCCTCATCATCGCTATCGCCATAATTATCAGTTTCTTCGTTACTGTCATTGTTATCATCACTGTAATTTATATTTTGCATTTGAGTGTCACGCTCCAAATAAGTATTATACCTGCTTCGTTTTCTCCTTTTCGAAGAAAATGTTGACAAATTTTCTGATGATGATGTGCTTTCTTGAGGGTCGATAGAGATTTATTCATTAACGAATGAAAATCCAATACTCATTAGATCATTTGAAGTAGTTGCATCATCAAGACTTAGACTCATTGAATGTTTTTGTTTGGTTCTTGGATCAACATACTTTCCGTTGCATTTATTACAATAACATTTTTCTTTAGTTCTTGTTTTAACGCGTCTTTCATTAACATTCATCATTTTTTCAAATTTTGATTTAATTTTACAAAATGTGAATTTAACCAAAATACCAGCATTTCGCTGTAATAAATAATCAGACGATACATTTTTATTTTTTTCGAACATCAATACATCAATTG